CCTATCATAGAAGCTAGACTCAAAACATATGAATCCCTCCACTTCCTGCAGCTTCCTAGCACAGGGAAATCAAGCATTCCCTGTAGCCCGATCCATTCACACTTGAGCTGTGACCACACTCACCACTTGCATAGAGCTTTTAGCTTTCAAAGTTCAGTACAGGCATCAGTAAATTTGTTCTTACCAGCCACCTGGTAGGTGGGTGCTCAATCCCTAGCGTTGGAGGATCACAAAGCACACACCTGGAGTGGCTCCAAAACAGTTTAACTTCCAAGGAACCCAGACAACCAGTTTAGAAACCACAGCTGCTGCCTCCTTCTGCACAGGTTGCTCTACAGGTGCAGGCTAGAAACTTTTGGTATTCATGATTATTCATTTACATGTATCTAAGTAATTTATGCCTTGCTTAGTTGCAACCATACTTCACACCCAACCAGTTCCAGGTATCTCTGACTAATTAGAGTGCACTAATTTACATGGACTATGTTTAATATTTAGTTACTGAATTAGTTCACTATTCATATTGCCTCTCTGATTACCCACTGGAATCCCCATTCCCACCCCCTGCTCCCCCACTTCCTCTGAGCCTACAAGTGTTATTTAGATGTTTCATAGGCAAATTACTCCTGGGACCTCTCTCTGACTCTAACCCAAGGGCTTTTAGACAAAGGCCAGTTGGCTATCCTGGTTCTGCATGCTAGTCCTTTGCTGATGACAGAGTAGTGGGATAATTTAACGTTAACATGGTTGTATAAGGCAGAGATTCCCACCCAAAGAGTCCCTGAAGGCACCTCCTCTCAGTTACTCTGTGTTTCTCCCTCCTGTTCCCTTGTGAGGCCTCTGCCCCCTTGCCGAGAACAGATGGATGAAGCTAGTGGCAGCAGGTCTCTTGCTGAGAACAGAGGGATGAAGTCAGGATCAACCAAGCAGGAATCACTTTGCTTGCAGATACACAGAGGCACCAAGCACCATGTGCAGGCTCTCTGTCCCCCACACACCCATATATGATGCTCCTTCTCCTCTAACTCTTCAGCCTTCTATGTAAGGAGCTCTGAAATGGAGCAGCATTTGCAAAATACACTCATTAGAACAGATATACGGCCTTGTACATTTAAAGTGGTGGGCAGTGAAGTGCTGCTCTTTGGAAGGATCCCCTGGTGGAGAAGCTCATTTGCCTGGACTCCTCAGCCCAGGCACCTTATGCAGCTATTTGCATCAGTGCTGGTAGCATTTTGCCCCCAACCTGCAAAGCATGAGAGGACTTGAACTCTCAGTGACTTTCCTGAAGACTCTATTTACACCTCTGAGCATTTTGGCTTACTGAGCAAATAAGTTTGGCTAGATTGTCAGTGTCCCTGGATCCCAGTGTTCTGGATATGGAGGTCTATTGCTATGACAACCCCAGGGTCACTGATGGAGGTCCTGCAAGTAAGAATTGTGTTAGCAAGGTAATCCCTCCTTATCCTGTGCTCTGTAGCTCCAGCCTCTCTTGCACCTTCCTCAGCCCTGCTTACCTTGACTCAGCCTTTCTCTTCAAATGGTACCAGCACAGAGCAGTCAAAGACCACCCTAGCACCCATTTCCCTGAAATTTGCCCTGTGCAAAGAATCTGTGCTGAGTCTGTCCACTCATTCATCTCTCCGAAGAGGGCTGGAATGGAACGTAAACAGGGCACTGGCTTTTTGCCGGTTCTCAGGGCAGGGAGTGACATGGAGATATTATGCTGTAAAATTTGTGCTTTAGAGCAAAATCCTATGTAGCCCATGACAAGCTGCAGCTGAAGTCCGTATCAAGTTCCTTGGATAATGTGGCCTTCAGCAAGGAATACTGTGGCAGCATCATTTAAATTAAAAATAATTTTTAAATTGAATTAACTGCGATGGAGCATAATTCAATCTGAACCATAGCCCCTGTGTCACCAATATTGGTATTAAATTCAATTTATTTTACATCACCTCCACATTTCCAGTTTTTAAACTGTGTATTGGCAATGCCAACCTGCACTGTAGATGCTGTCAGGAAACATTTTGGTAGCTGGATATGGAACAGGTGGAGCCTTTAGGCACTTGAGCATAGAAAAAAACGGAATTTAGTTTTGCAAGATAAGCACAGTAACTAAGACTTTGTTAAGTGCTCAGCAGTAAAACAGTTAGCAATATCATCTTAAGGTTTAAGAGAGGATGCTTTATTGATGTGATCCCCCTTCCCGTGCGCCAGTGTATTGTTTCAGACTTTCTATAATCTCAGGAAAATGATAGTACACTGGTTGGATTTCAGGAAATTTTCAAGGCACATTTGGCAACCATGAATTCTGGAAAGACAGCTCTGGAAGAACTCCCCCCACACACACTCTGAAATCCCAAATTTGAGAGCACCACTTTGGATCAGAACAAATCCTGCTGCAACTGCTTTTTTTAACTTGGGGGCTTGCTTAAGTGCTCTCTATACAACTGGGAAATTATGGGTTATTAACAAGGTCTGGGGCCCCTCAATGGATGCTGAAAATATTTTGATTCCAGTCTAAATGGGACAGACCTATATTAAGCATTTTTTTTTACAGAAAGCATGAATGGGATTCAAAGGAAGATGTTGTATATCATGCTACCTTGAGAGACAATTACATTCTTTTCAGCTCATCTCCACTAAAAATTAAATAATTTTCAACCCTGGCTACAGTTAGAGAAAAATGTAAGTGTGTGTGTGCAGCAGGGGCAAGAGGCTGGAGAATACAAAAGTCCAGGTGCTGATAATCCTTAGCTAGTGAAAGATCATTTTCCAGAGTGCCTGCAATTCCCCAGCTTTGGGTCCACATTTTTGTTGCATGTGTGTATGTGCAGTAACTAGTATAGCAGGGCTTTGATTCCTGAGTGGAGTGTCTGGGTGCTAATGTAGTACAAAAAATCATCATAGGTTTTAATGCTGTAGAGCAAGAAACAGCTTCACTGTTGATATGGTAACTCATAAAAGAAGCTAGTTGGATCTCCAGCTGAGAAAAGATGCTGAATCCTAGAATGTTTCTAGACCAGATCAGAGACCTGAGTTGTGCCATTGCAATTCCCCTAGAGTTCACGCAACATGTGGAAAACTGGGGAAAAAATAAATCAGGAATCATCTTAAGGAAAAAAAAGTCTACTAGGCAACGGTACTGAAAATATCTGCAAGTGTTCCTTCTCGTGCCGCTGCTTGGGGTAGCAGTTTGGCATCTTGTTATTTCTGTGCTGCCAGGAGTTTGTGCCAGTGCTGATGAGGGTGCACCACAGCAGGAGTGCAAGTGCTCAAGCTGGTAGCAGCAGGGATCCCAGCATGATCCTAAGCTATTGCTGCAGTCTTGTGGAGCCAGCATGCCGACATTGGCCGTTGCTGGAGCCCATTGCTAGGCAGCCTGAGCTGTGTTGAGCTGTGGGGGAGCCTCTAGAGAATGAATCCAACTGACACATTTGCAGGAAGTTACTTGTGCTGATTTTTCAAAAACCTGTAAAGCCCATGGGGATCCGTTTGCAGTGGATGTTTCTAATTTCCAGCTGAATTTTTAGCTGAATAGCCGGAGAATTATTCTTCCCCTTTGTCTTCCTTTCCCTTCTGCCTTCTCCTAGAACTCTTTCCTCTTCCCCCCTGTCACAGAAGGGTCTCATCTGCTTTCCTCTGCTAGCCTCTCCACCTGCCCCAAGGATCCACAAGTGTCTGCTGATCTCCCTTACACCCACTTTCATCCCTGCCCTTATTCCTCTCCTCAACTCACCCTCTCCTCTGGCTCTTCTCCTTCACAAGTCAACATGTTTTAGTTTCTCCCACCTTAAAAGCCCACCTCTTATTACGCTGGCCTGTCTCACTGCTTCCCCATCTTGCTGCTCCCTCTCATCTCCAAGCTTATGAAACCTGCTGTTTATAATGTTCCCCTCGTCAAGGTCCACCGTCCTGCACTCTACTGAAACTGCTCTTGCCGTGTCTCTGTTGTCCTCTTCTTAGCTATTTTTCAGAACCAGCACTTCATCCTCCACCTCCTTGACCTGCCAGCCACCTTCAACAACATCAAACACCCCCTTCATCTTGGAATCATGTTTTCCCTTTCCCACCCTGACTCCATCCTTTCCTAGTTCTCTTCTGACCATTCCTTTCCTGCCCTCTTTGGGGGATCTCTCTCGTCCCCCTCCAGATTTCTCGTGGGGGGGGGGGGG